GGGCCATAGCAGCATCTTCCACATTTGATGGGGATGTGCCTCTGGCTTGGGCCTCCATCACCTCTCCAGTCCCCTGACGGACGTATTGCCTCAAGGGTTCCACTGTGGGCATTTGAACCTCTGTTGAGGTCAAGGGACCCTACCTTCCTTACCCACATGACCCTGCACAGCCTGCCCAGCCACAGTGCTCTGTGTTAGTCCATGTGAGTAGGGAGAGAAGAAGGGGTTGGCAGAAATGGCCTCATCTTCGGGGGCTCACTGGTAGCCTCTGCTGGGGTCTAGCCCCGACACTTACTTTCTGCCCCTCACTGGCCCACACACCCCTGCCCCATCCTGCTGCTGTCTCTACTTAGCGCAGCATTTTCCAAAGCCTATGCCCACAAATGCCCATCCCGCAGGATTTCCCTGCCCCACAGCCAAACAGCCTGGGAGTTAATAAGCTTGTGAACTGCCGTACAGTGAGATTCCCAGCACAGCAGCACAACATGAGACTCCCGAGAAGTCCCACGGGAGAACTGTTACCCTTGCTGAACCCAGTCAGTCTCCAGTTAGGTTGGACCCAGGAACACTTTCCTTACCTGACACCTCCTGCTGGTTTCTCTTAGAAAGTCCCCATCCTGCTAGTCACCAAGAGCTGTCCCAGGCTTGGTGTGGCCCCACTGCCCACCTTCCCACATCATGACACCAGCCAGGCGGAGCAGCTGCTCTGGGAGGCAGGCCCCAGGTCCTCCTGTGGCTGAGAGGGGATGGATGGAGGCAGAAATGCAGCTGTTTCACCTTGGCTTAGGTAGACGTTTATCCATCCTACCCAAAGATTCCAGAGAACCTAGAAGGGAGCCTGGCACAAGGCAAGTGCTCAGTGAATAATTGATAGGTTGCTACATTAGTTGTTCCACTATTCTTCACCAGCACTGTAAAAAGCGTTGCCCCTGCATTTGACCCAGCCTTCTTCAGATGGGAGAACACCACCCATCCGTGCACACCTCCACGGGAGGGAGACCACCGCCCACCCGTGCGCACCTCCA